AAAAAAAAAAAAATGTCTCTAGGCATTGCCAAATGTTCACTGGGGATCAAATTGTCCTTAGTTGAGAACCAATGCTCTAGCTGAGTCAGGAAGTTAAAAACATGGAATCTCATCTTGTTTCTTTTTATATTCTCCATGGTACCTAACAAGTGCTTTAACAAATGCTTATTACCATGAAAAAACTATGACCTAGTAGCTGGTAGCACCAATGCCACCAATGATCCCATACCTTGGGACAATAGATTCCTAAAGGACTAGTAGCTAGGGCCTTGATGTTGCCCACTGTAAGGAGCAGAAACACAAGGGCAGTCTGAAACAGTTTCTGGTACACAGCGGTCCTTAAATATTTGATGAATAAATAATGTACTCAAAGGGTTCAAGCTCACAAATACACTCCAATCCTTGAAAACAGGTTTCTCTAGTCCTCATGAAAAGGTAAAGATGAATTCATCCACTGAACCATATAAGGCACACACACTCACCCTGTCTTCACAATCACATAGCTAAGTTCATTAAACTTGGAGACATTTTAGGGTTAACAGAGAGGGCCCTAGATAAGTCCCTTTCCAAAGACTTTTCCAAGCCATGATCACTAAAGGAACTCTCAGGCACAGGACAGACAAAACACCAGGGTTCTATCAACATAAGAAAACATTAACGGGAACCCAGAAGGGCTACAGGGACTCTGGTTATATAAAACCAAGGTTGTTTTCTAATCTCCTAGTGACAAATAAATACTCCAGGGTGAAGGGCAATTTTACCTTGGGCAGATCTGTAGCCGGATAAGGGAGGCTTCATTCCATTCATCTGTCCATTGTTGGGCCGGCTAATGATATTCTTGGAAGAAATGGTTTCTGAGACGACAGTGCACTTGGGCTTCAAGGAAGTACCTGAGCTACTACCTGTTCTCCCAGGTCCCAAGCTGCTCACTGGTCTTCCAGGGCCTGAACTACTGACAGTTCGTCCAGCTGGAACTGAGCCACTTACTGATCGTCCAGGGCCACTGACTGGTCGCCCAGGGCCACTGACTGGCCGCCCAGGGGGTCCTGAGCCACTCACTGGTCGTCGAAAGTCATGTGGACTGTTCACAGGCCGCTCAGGGCCACCAGAGCTGCCCACCAATCTCCCAGAACCACTTGAGCCACTGATGGGTCGCCCAGGGCCACTTGAGCTGCTAGCAGGTCGTCCAGGGCCATTTGTACCGCTGACTGTCCGTCCAGAAGGATTTAAGTCACTGGCTGACCTCTTCATTCCACTGACTGATCGCTCGGGTCCTAAGCTGGAGCTGCCATTCTGGCGCCTGGGCACGGGGCCAGAACTAACTGTAGGCTGAGCAGTCCCTGTGCTGGGCCGCCCAGGGGCTGAGCTGGAGGAGCTGCCTGGCTGCCTGACACCCGGACTCTTGGCCTTATTCTGTGGGGTGACCATGGACCCAGGCCTGGGATGGCCAGGATGTGGAGGTTTTTTGGCTTTGTGCTCAGTAACAGGTTTCTGAGTCCCTTTAGCAGAAGTCTTTAGGACACCTGGTGAATAGGTGCTCGAGTGAGTCTTTCCAGCCCCATTGAAAACAGGTCTGTCGTGGCCCTCACGAAGCGAGGGTTGGGAGCAATTGCCAGATCCCATTTTGGTCCTCTCTCCTGGCATGGATTTCGATGAAAACAAGCCTAAGTGTTTCTCATTAGCTATGCTGGGTCTGGATTTCTTCTCAGCATGAGGAAGGGGAGTACCTTTGGAAGAAGGATGCTTGTCCCCAGAAACTTTGCTAAGTTTTGTGCCCACACTTCCTTTCTGAGAGGGTACCTTTTTGGTTGGAAGTAGTCTTGCATCTGTCTCAGGTTTCTTCTTCCTCTGCTTTCGTTCAAGAAATTCTCGCTCCCTAAGTTCTTCAGCGGTCATAGGCCGCTCCTCTGTTTTTTTCACTACCTTGATTTCCACTGGTTCATACTGCTTTTTCTCAGCCAGCCTGAGTAGATCAGTGAAGTTCATGACTGGTGGGGCACTTTTAAGGGGGACCTTTGGTTTGCTTTCAACTTTGGGAGGTTCTTGCTCTTCCTCATACTCCTCCTCTGATGCAGCTTGATTGTACTCTAAGAATTCATCCTCTTCTTCCATCTCATACTCTTGGTCTGTTCCCTGACTAGTGTGGCTTTCCATTGCCTGTCTCTTCTTCGCTTTTTCCTCAAGGGGAATCCCATCGTAACCATGGAAATTATCCTTTGTCCTCTTGGCCATGGCTCTTGCTTTCTTGTCATGTTTTAGCTCAATTCGCTTTTTCACTAGTTGTTCTTTTCTCTTTTTCTCCTCTAAGGCTAAAATTGACAAAACAATAACAATTTCAAGGTCTCAAGATTATAATCTGTTTATCTGAAATCAGTAGGTGGCCAAAACACAAGCAATATTTATTTTGAAACAATACGATTTGAAGACATCTAGGCATCAAATGAGGTAGTCATTTGAACAAGTATCAATTGAGTTATCTTTACATGAGTGGGTCGCATAAGGGTTTTCTATATAACTAAGCAAGTGAGAGACTTGGCTTTTAGCTTTAAATACAGAAAACAGTTCATAGCAAAATAATATATCAAGTTAAGGGAACATTAGTACCCACTTAGCAGTTGTTATTATGAATCAATGAATACTCAAACTTCCTGAATCAGTCTCTGTCATCTGTATGAAATAAAACTTTTTATGTTTACTGGTTTTCAAAAATTGCCTCTATTTTAACCTTTTAGATAGCACTCTTAGTAACAATAATAAAAATACAAAATAGATTAAAAGCAGATTCAAAACATAGAGGTCAAAAAATGGAGTTGTTATTGGGGACCTTACTATGGTCAATGAGAAGATATGGTCACTATCCCTGAAGAGCTTTCAATTTAAGAGGGACTAAATGATAATGTATATACAAATGATCATTATAAGAACATATGTAATCAGGATGGCTCATCTAAAAAATAAATAATAAAAAAAAGAATATATGTAATGTTATCAACACAGCTGACTCAGACACACATGCAACAAATCCATTAGCCTGTTACATCATTACAAACATCCACTGGTTAAGTACAGCTAGTTATGACGGTGGAAGGCTTTACTTTAAAGTTGAGAGTAAGGCTACAGATACGAACCTTTTCGTCTGAGCTCCTCTTCTTTTCTTCTGAGAAAAGCTTGTACAGCTGCAGATTGGACACCCTTCACTTTGGGGTCTTTTTTGGGAGGACCCACTGCCAAACTATACCTTTTCTAAAAAAACAAACAAAAAAGTGGATAAGTTATAAGCAATTCAACTTTAAAAATATATTGTCTATTAGGTGTAAGGCACTGTGCCAAGCGATAGAGGTTTAAATGTTGACTGAAAAACCTATTCTGAATACTTAAGAGATCATATAATGCACATTAAAGCTTAGCCATAAAACTTCAGACTAAATATGATTATGAATAACTATTTTTATGTGCAGTTTCTCTGTAACACTCTAAATAATGCATAAATGAAAAACTCAGAGAAACACTTTTTTCAAGGCTATTTCCCCAAAAAGGTAAGAACCTGGACCGGGGGCTAAAAAAACAACAAAACCACCACTTAGAACAGATTGTTTTAAAATTCTGATGGAAAAAACCAGCCTTCTTCAGAATTAAGCATTTCAAAGTCCAACCTTCCAAACAAGTAGAAACAACTACTACTCACAACTGTGTTCTTTCCTGAGTACCCTACTCCAGATGATCTTCTAGTAGGGACTTGTGTCTACATAGGTTACTTTGCTTACAACGTGAGTCGCTGAGATTTTCCTCTGACCATAGGCAAAGTCTGGTGGCAAACCACAGCTAAAAAACATTTCAAAGAAATCTAAGCAGCAAGAAGGGCCCAATTCTCTGTAACCTTTAACTGTACCTCTTAGGTTCATTAAATATTAATTAGCCACATAAACTCTTTTAGACAGGTTTACATATCACCCCAAAATTGCTAACATTGTTAACATTATCCTGGCACAGATGGTCTTTCTCCAGGCCTCATTTTTTATGTAACTGCATCGGGAAACCACTAAAATTAGAAAACTGTTAATTTGAACTACGAAAGGAAAAACATTTCCATTTTATAAGTATCTATCATTAAGGAAGTATGATTTACAGAGCCAATAACTCAGACTGGGATGATTCATCTCTAGGACCACTCCACATTAAATTTATGCCCTAAGAAGTAAGATTTGTTAAAGTGCCCTCTCTCTTTTGTCTTATTAGGCAGATGACATTCTTATTCCCTGAACATGTTGCTGTGCTAGTTAAAAAAACAAACTCAAACTGCAGAACAAATTGAGCTACTTAGGAACCAAAAAGTAATTCCCAAAATGTGTATGAACTTTCTGGAGGAAAGCCAAAGGATCCATTGCTTACCATTTGGCTGCCAAATACAAGGCTTCTTAAAACAGGCTGGAGCTTCCAGCCAAGTTAGTCTACCAATGAAGCAGCTGGCCAAGGAAGCAGGCCCTAATCCAACCTGAAAATCCTGCAAGATAGCAATGCTGAGAAGTGACACATCCCTGAGCGAAATCCCAAGAGAGCACCCAGAATCCTTTCCCAGTCACCTTGGCTGAGTCACAAGGAGATCCTTTAAAAAACGCATATCTATGTAAATTTAGTTGTAGGCCCTTTCCACAGTGGATTGGGGACCAATACTTAAAGGAGAGGTAAAGGGATACTGAGGAGAAAGGAGCATACTGCTATTCTAACTATATCAAATTGTCCTGGTTTACAAGAACTTCATAGACCTTATCCACAAGCAGCTCACATTTTCATATTGCAAGGGCCGCCATGAGTATGATTCAAGTTGCATGAGACATACAGATTCATAAGCAAAGGCACACACACTCACTCCACCCCATCAGGTAGATTTGTAAAGAAGAGAAAGAGTGGATTTTTATTGCTAAGACTTAAGATTTTACTGTCCCTGTCAACTATAGAGCCCATAGAGTTACCTTCCAAATCATAGCTTACACAGTGTTTCCCACAGAAAAATGCCAATACACAGGCTTGTATTATTTAAAACAGGATTGGGTTGTTATCTAGGTATTACAGCAATGAGCACTTCCTAACTTGGTTTCAGGATAGACATATTTCTTCCTAACTTGGGACTTTAAGAGATAGGCAATGGGATTATGACTAGTAGAAAAGCTACTCCTGACTGAATATAGGCACCCGAAGGAAAAACAGCGTCAATGGGCAGTTTAACAGTGCTTACCAAGCTTCAGTTGTTCACATACCACTTTCAGGATTTTTCCTTTTAATATACCACCTGTATTATTATTTACTAATTTTAATTTTACTAACATCATGACTTACTATTATAGCTTTACCCCAACTACTAATATCCATGAAATGGCTGGCTTGAAAGCCTTTATTTTTCCAAATCATATCAAAATATATAACTACTTTAAAAAACAAACAAACATAACTATTAGAATAAAAAGTATTTGTGTATCACCTTAAATCATGGGAGAGCCAGAGCTAAAGTACTGCACTTTGGGAAACACAGACTAAAGAACATAAATACAGGACAGGCAGGCCACAAGGAAGAAACACTGGGGGTGGGGNACCCTCAGAAGGCTGCACTTATATGAGCATCATGAGTTTAGCAGGAACTCAGTCAAGTCTAATTCACCCAGAAGTGGGGGGGTGTTCAAGAACTGATTCACTCAGAAAAAAATTCCATAAGCTAGCATAACACTGACCATTACAGCCACATAGTGTATCTCATTTTTTTCTTTCCAAGTTTTTGAGAAAAAAAATCCTGCTTTATGTTATTAGAAGTCAACACTGACAACAGAATAAAATCCCATTACCACCATTTAAATTTACTTATATAACTGTCATTTTTAAAGTTCTACATACATTTTTACTCCAAAAGAATTAAAATTATACCCTTGCTGAAACATTTAATGGTCATAGAAACTAATTATCTCTAAATTTTAGTTAAACCAGAGAAATAATTATAATTTCTCAGTTCAGGGATGTTAGAAACCAATTTACAGAGCATTCTGTACAGGTATTCTCTTGGCCTTTGAAGGTGTCTATTTTCAAACTTAATATTAGAGTAAAAATTAATGATGACGGTTTTCAAAATGAAAACGTCATATATTTTGTATAAACACTTATCTATGTAATCGTTTATCTATGGCCTATACATTTTACCATATTTTCTGATACCTATCACCATGTAATGCAGAGGTTCTCAACCTGTGGGTCGCGACCCCTTTGGGGGTCAAATGACCCTTTCACAGGCGTCGCCGGGTACTCATATGTGGGCATATCTACATGTGGGCCTGGAGACAGATAGAGGAGCGGTGTCTCGGTTCCTAAGACCATCGAAAATATGTATTTTCCGATGGTCTTAGGCGACCCCTGTGAAAGGTTGAGAACCGCTGATGTAATGCTACACTGGGTATATAACTTCATTTATATGAAATGTCCAGAATTGGCAAATGCATAATAAACAAAAAGTAGATTAGTAGTTGCCAGGGGTTGAGAGGAATGGGGAATGACTGCTAAAAGGTAAGGGAGTATTTCTGGGGATGACAAAAATGTTCTGCAATCAGACAGTGGTGATGGTTGCATAACTCTGTGAATATACTAAAATCCACTGAATCTTACACATTACATGGGTGGGTTTTATGGTATGTGAATTATATCTCAATAAAAATGTTTAAGAAAGCTTCAGGCTGGGATTACATTATATTCTATTTAACAAGGCAGAACAACTGTCTGGCACTTTCCCCTGCATCAGATGGTCACAGCTCCAGCAGCAGCACATCAAGATGCATCCACCAATTCTGAATCTGACAAGGCACCAGGTTGCTTCATTGTTTCAGCTTCATGAAAAGCAGCTGGACAAGAGTTTCTTTCATCCTAAATGTATGCATTTCATAATATGGCAAGCCAACTCAGTCCTTCTGCTGGGCCTCCATGAATAATCCACAACAGTGAAGCTTATGCCATTTAAATACAGTATCAGAGATTTTGCCAAGATTTGTAATTCTGAAGCCAACAGACCTAGAAGACATTAAGTCACTTTTAAAACACATGTGTTCCTTGTATTGAGACTATACTGTACGGTCAGATTAAGAAAATAAAGAGCTTTCAGTCTGGAAATAATCTGTTCACCAAATACATTATGTTGGAATCAATAGTCAATCCCTTCTTGAAAGCTGTTCTTTACTCAGGAGATAACATATTGTTGTCATTGTAGAAGATACAAATTTCCTGATAGTTTTACATACATTATAGATATATTATTGGTTACAATTTAGGAGTTAGGAAATAGTCAAATATAGTCTTAGCTTTAATAATCACTACACAATTTCTAAAATCTTCTCAAAGCATCATAGCCAGGGAATGAACGCAGGCCTGGAAAACCAACGGTTTGCATTAGGCTTTGCTTAGCTGGGTAGCTAAGAGGGTGAAAATAAAACCACCAAAAAAGCTTGCTATTTAGGATTGCTACTGGGTTAAATGTAAAATTTACTATTAGAGTGTTTATAAAAATATACCTGATTGTAAATGTAATATCAGATAGGTACTTCAGAGCCTCTAGCCCAACCTCTATGTCAGAAATGGCCCAAAAAGGACAACTGTGTCTTTACTGCCTGTCACTCAGTTTGTAGCAGTCTGAAGTAAAACCTAGGTCTGACTGAGGTCCAAAAGTGTTCTCATTAGATAAGCCTCACTTCTAGTTTAATTTCAACATTTTCATCTCCAGCTTTAACCTCAATCTTAAATGCCATTCTCTAATTTCCAGCTGCCTCTTAGACAGTGCCATTACCTTAAACAGGTCCATCACTGAACTTTCTATCTTATCTTCCCTCCCCCTCAGATTCTATTTCTGTTAACCAAGCTGGCAGTTCCCCTAACAGGCCGGAAATCTGTCTCTATCCACCAGTTTCAAATGCTGTTGGTTTGGCCTTTAAATTTCTCTCCCATCAGACTTTACTGGACACTGAGTAGTGCCATCCAAAAACCAACAGGGTTACTGCCTAAGGCTATATTAGGCTGGAGTTGGGGATAGGGAGTTCAGCGGTTCAAGCTGTACAGATGACAACTTCCCTCACCACCCCATATCCAATACACTCTCCTCATTCAACACAGGGTCGAGATTAAGAGTAGGTACTCTGGAGCCAGTGTGTCTGGATTGGATTCTCTGCCCTGCTATTAATTAGCTGTGTGATTGGGCAAGTTTCTTCATCTCTCTGGGCCTCAATTTCCTCAACTGTAAAACAACCATCCTTATAGTCGTTATGGTGATTAATTAATATATGTGAAGTGCTTAGAACAGTGTCTGGCACAGAGTAAGCACTACAGATGTTAATTACTGTTGCTATTATTATTCAGAAAGAGGTTATCTAGGTAATGATGGGGTAGAGAAATAACAGAATCTCTGGGGGGGGGCAGTAGTTTCTAAAAGACCCTTTCCCTTAAACATTGGTTGAGAAGTACCGCTCTAGGCTAGAAATCCAAAGCTGCACCAGGCACTGGAAGTCATTTTCAGATCCAAGAGTGGGGAGCAATCCAGTTATAACTGATTATAGGTCAAGGGTTACAAAGTGACTGCCTGAAGAAACTTTTATGTTACCCCATACTGTTCTTTAAAAGGAAATATAACTACTGCAACAAATGGTGCATCTATCATTTTATATCCAGACTACTTCAAGAATTTACATTATTTACCCGGTCCCTGAAGACATCTGAAATTGCCATCCTAGTTAAGGTCCCTGGGCTCCATTTTCACACTTACATTCTCCTTAAGGGGCTACAGCACCCCAAATCCTTATGTATCTGGTACCACACGAAGGCTCCTCCTTTACTTTTTGGTTTGAGAGTCACACCAGTTACGGTACATTGTCTGGGATGATTCTCAGTCTGACTCTGACAAAGACCATATAATTTGTCTCATGTCCTACAAGCCATCAATTACAGCTAGCTACCTGAAACCTAAAAGAATCCATATTCTAAGCTCTGCTATCTATCAAAACAAGACAACCACTTTGTTTTTGCTAAAAGAAGGGAATCCGTTTATAATCAATTACAGGAGGGAGAAAAATCTTAAGTGCAAGGTTACCAAAAATATCTTTTCTCCTTTAAATATAAACAGAGCTAAAGACAATGACTGATTACATCACCTTGATCAGCTGTTATTTTGTAGTCAGTTTTCCACTGGGAAATGATAGCGTGCCTAATATTTCCAGACATGATGCAATCCTTTCTTTGTTTTAACTAAAACATTATAAAAATAACAAATTCTCTTAAAAAGAAACAACGGAAAAGAAAACAAAGATGTCCCATTAGGGAAATAAATGTTCATTGCTTGTCAGATACCATAGACACCTCTCAAAAATGAAGCCCTGCGAAGAGTTTGAAGTGGCTGTACAGGTGTTTTAGATTTTAGCCTCCCTTGGACAACACTAGTGGTATTTCCGTTCTGCAGCAAAGGTCTGACATAGGAATTCTGAAGACTAAAATCTGAACATCAGCTCTGAGAGAATCCAAATGGAGGGTAGGGGAGAAGATGGCTAAAAGGGAAGAACAAACCATGCACTAGAGAGGGTGGAGCTATAGCTGTCAATTTCTGCAAATCCTCTGTGGTACTCAGACCATCAATGAATCAATGAATCAATGAATCAAGTTTATGTCAAGCAGGGTGTGTGTATGTGGTTTGGAATGTTGTTTCTTGACTTGGATGGTGGTTTACAAGGATATTTGTTTTATAGTCATCTGTATTATACTGTACCATATGTTAAATTTCATAATTTAAAAAAAGGAAACGGGGGTTGGGAGACTCTTCAGCTATATCAATTAGGTTTTATTTCTTTTAAAAAATATGAACATGGCAAAATGTTAATATATGTTAAATATAGGGTGTGGGCATATTCTGTATGTTTTACAAGTGTCTAAAATTTAAATATATATATATTTTGTAAGAATGTGTCTCTTTCCGCAGTTGACTTAAAAGGGAGAGGAATCCTGCTGAAAGAAAGCATTTTTCCTAGGCCTTTTATACACTGTTTGCACTGATGGTGTACTCTAAAAGGCAATTGAGGAAGACTATAACTTAGATTAGATGAATCAAATTAAAGCAAGATCATGGAAAAAATTTAACTACATACAGTCTTGCTCTATTTCTCAATAGTTTCTTTTATGATGTACTCTCACCTGATGTAAAAAAAAAATAAGGATGTAATGCTGCTAACTACATCAAACTTCTAGGCTTACTAGGTTTTTGGGGGAGGAGAGGGCAAGGAAAAGCACGCTTTCCTAACATATATGCCTGTATTCATCTATTAAATTTTAAATGACCTCAGCAATATACCTGTTTTCCTTTCTGCTTCCAATTTTTGTTATTCCAATCAATAGATAATGTATATATTCTGAAATATACACAGATTTTGAAATCTGCTTCTGCTCTAGGAACGTTTGCTTTTCTCCCAGCAGCAGTTGGTTTTTAGAATAAGAAACAACTAACTGGTTCTGATTCTTCCACAGAATATTCCTAAGCATCAAAGCTAGTATTATCACTTTTAACCTCCACTGAAATTCAGGAACATCTTGAATGAAATATGGACCTAATCAAAGATCCAATACTACCAGACCTAATATTGACTTGTCTAGGAAATTTACAGATGCAAGAAGTAATTCTGTTGTTCAAGGTTTAAGCCCTGAACATCTGTCTGCAGAGCTTATGACTCATGGTTTAGGGGAATGATTTTATTAAGAATACCTGGGAGGAGGTCGTGAAAAAAGGAGGACTTGCTGTGGAACCGCCATTTCCTCCGTTTTCCGTTCTCTGCGCCTTTCGCAGGCCTCCCAACAGCGCTATGCTGGGACAGAGCATCCGGAGGTTCACGACCTCTGTGGTACGTAGAAGCCACTATGAGGAGGGCCTGGGGAAGAATTTGCCATTTTCAGTGGAAAACAAGTGGCGGTTGCTAGTTATGATGACTCTGTACTTTGGATCTGGATTTGCTGCACCTTTCTTGATAGTAAGACACCAACTGCTTAAGAAATAAGGACATTTTACCTAATCCGTAAACAGATATGAAGAGGAGCATTTTAAGAGGTGCAGTCACTTTGAAAAATGGATCAAACTGTTGAACTCAACATAGTAGATGTGTTTGTAAATAAACTTATGGCATGAATCCTTAATGCCTCTTTCTGAAATACAAAATGTGGTAAATTGAGGAAAAAAAAAAAAGAACACCTGGGAGGGAGATGGAGAGATAGACAATAAGCTGATAGGTATCAGTTTTATTTACCAGGTATTTTACTATCTTCAGATCAATGTTTTCAAAAGGGTAATAGAATGGGCCAGCATCAGAAGACAAAAAAGCACAGGAGAAAAAAAAACATTGCAATATACAAAATTCTAAGAAATGAAGAGCACAGCGGCAGCTCAATAAATTCCAGTTGAATTGACTTTAACAGAGAGCTGTTTGAGTTCTACATCTCAGTGCTCAAACCGCAGGTATCACAGCGCAATTCATCGGTTTACAGCTGTGCTGTGGGTACTATCTGAGGATCCAGAAATGATTAGTTTATGCAAAACAGCTACAACCCCGCAACCCAGGCACTCTCAGCCACTTCAGTATTTCGATTTTAAAAGTCTTACACCGCTGTACGAATATTAGAGAATTTGAAAACGTTACTGAGCAAATGAGACCCCGATTTCAAACAAAGACAAACCTGGAAGGCCTCAAGTAAACGGAAGCTGAAACTAGCACACCCATGCTGTTGTTGGCCAAGGATTTCATGGAATCCGCTCAATTCCTCTTCCCAATACAAAAGGTGATCCTTGGGAGGCGATAATTTAATCACCTCGTTTGCTAGGTGGGTGGGGCCACAAATCAAGAGAATTTGTTCTGGAAATCACTTAAATGTTCGACCCGAACATCGGCGGGAAATCAGCCAAAAAAAGGCTATCAGGCCAAGTTTCTGAAACCCCTGAACTCCCAACATACTCGCTTCCTCCCCAACCACTGGGCAGAAGTTTATGCCGAAGCCAGAAATTACTAGATCAGATTCCACTGTGTGCCAGGCACGACTCCACTCACCAGCTCTCACGCAACTCTAAACACACAAACCGCAAAGTCCTTGTTCCGGGGGTAACTGAGCTGGCAAAACCCACTCGCCGGAAGGCTCCCGCCTCGCATCTCACGGCTCTCTTCACCCCGAGTTCCCAGAAGTACATGCCCAAGAAATAGAAATAAAGGGGTTCAGGTCTTTCCTCTCTCGGAGCCGAGAGGCGGATGCCTGGAAGTTCCACCCGATACACATTCCGAACTTGAAGATTAGGATCTCCTACAGGGGCGTCCCAGCGGCCACATACCGGTACGTTGTTGGCTCCTTGTCCTTTGGAAGCCATCATGATTATTTCCCTGAAATCCATGTTGACCGAAGCGGAGAGACTGGGCCAGGTTCTCGGAGAGGAGCGAAACCGCGCCTTACCCAGGCGACCAGCTGCAGCCCAGTGAACAGGGTGGCCAACCCCTTTCCCACCCCTCCTCCGCACGACCACTTCCGGCGCCTTCCAATGCCGTCTTCCCGCCCCCTTTCCTCAAGCGGCCTATATCCTTTAAGGTCCGTCGCTCACTCGCGAGTCCCTGGCGTAACTTCCGCTTTTAGGCTCGAGACACGTAGAAACGTGATACGTGGCTGCTGACGTCAACTCGAAAGGGCGGGACTAAGCCCTTAAACTGACCAAGGAGACGAGGGCTAGTAAACGGCGAGGTGTGGCTAAGGGGGAGAGCCTCTTCCCTGGCTGTTCGGGAGTGCGGCTTGATAATGTTGGTGCACCTTTTGCGCTGTGGATAAGGATAACGAGGGGGCGGGGGTTACCTACCAGGCCTGGGTTCGCTGGGTGTCACCGGTGGACGCTCAGGTCCGAGAAGGCGGCGCCCCGACAACAGAACCGACAGGTCTCGAGCAGGAGTTTTCAGTTATTGGTTTCTAGGCGCTCGGGAAGCCGCGCAGGCGCACACGACACCGACTGATCCGCCGTCTGGGATACACATTACTCATTACATCCTGGCACATGGCTGTGCTCACCTCCTATACAGATGCAAGCATGCCACGTGTAGAGTCACATACACACACACACACCCCTTACTGCTATTGCCTCATTTAGATTAAAAAAAAATCCACGTAGGTCAACCAACTGTGTTTTGCTCAGTGGATGCATGAAGGAGTTCCTCACAGACCCAGCCTGGAAATAGTTGGTACACTGATAAAACATGGATATGTGCCCCATATTCATTTTCATTGGGAGTCCACTCCTGGGTTCCTCTGAAGAATTATCTGGGGTCTGTAAGGTTATCTCAACCAAGTAAAATACACTAATTAGGCGGATTTGGGGCTAGGGATGGGAACAGGCAGGGATTGCAATGGACAGTAGGGATCTTTTCAGTGTGATGGAAATGCCCCCAAACTGGATTGCGGTGATGGATGTGCTGTAAATTTACTAAAAACCATTGTACACTTAAAATAGGTATCTTACAGTATGGAAATCACATCTCAAAGCTGTTAAAAAATACTAGACAAAGCTAGTTGGTCTTATTCTTTGAACTTGTTGATGAAAAACATCCAGCCTGAGAAAATTTATGAGTGTATTTGAGCCAAACTGACAACCATTGCCAAGAAGCAAAATCTCAACAGAGAAAATGCTCCTCGAATTGGCGGTTTGCAGCTTGTTTTATACATAGAATCGAAGGAGGAAGGTTACATGAAATCCATTGGTAATAGATTAAGGGGGTGGGAGAAAGCAAAGTGGGGAAATCTCTGTGATTGGATAAAAGTAAATTGGAGAACAATGCAATAGTTATCCTTTACACCCCTCACAAAGTAACAACCCCCCTCCCCCATCCACTGCCCTCCCACCCCCGACTAGTGCATTGTTCTGTACACCTGAAACTAATAATAAAATAAAATAAAGTAAATTGGAGAGACAGGTACTTCTTTTATATAGGTGGGTGCAGGATAGCTAACAGTTCACTTTTTACAGCACATAGAGATGGTAATCAGGAGACAAGCATAATAATGAAGAATTTTGTAGTTTCCAGCTCTGGTCTGGAAAAAGGATTAAAGATATTATCTTAGGTACGGAAAGACAACAGGCCCACTGAAAGGCACAGACTAACTTTTTGAAGGAAGCTAAACATGTGACTTCCTGCCATGGCCCACTGAGTTATGAAATTTTTTTATGCTCACGCCATCGTATGTGGTTATTTTCACTTTCCTGAGCTTGTCAGGTTAATATGTGGCCCCTTTTCCATCCACAAACTGAAGTTTAATGCTGACTTGTGGCACTGACTACATTGCTACATGGCTGCCAAAAGGAGGTATTTCCAGCACAAGGGGCCTTGGCCCTTTCAGGACAGACATCAAGAGAGGGGGCAACACAGTCTGCAGAGAGAAAGGTTTTTTAAAGCAAGAGCTTGATGCACCAACGGAGCAAGCTCCAGAGGAGAAAGTGTTACCGAACTCAGGTTCGGCGCTGCTTGTCGACAGAAGAGCCCAAAAACCAGAGTGTACAAGGGTTGGTGAGGAGAAAAGCGTCCTTTGTTCTAGATGCCAGCAGCTAGGGAAGATGTCTGACTAACACCTAAAAATACCATTTTCCCCAAGCCAAAATGATTAAGAGGTTTTATAAGCGGGTAAATAGGCAAAAACAAAGGAAAGCAAGCCTGGGCTCTTCTGAGGCCTCAGGTCTGCCTCAATGTTATCTTAAAATCTTATTGTCCATAGCAGGGAAAGCCATTAGCGAAAAGCTGCTAGGGAGTTGTGATCATGGGTCCTGGCACACAGGCGCTTGAGGGTTAAAGAAGCTGCTCTTTTCAGGTTAGATGTTGTTAATTAACGAGGTATGGGTAGCCTTGAAAAAGGGAACAGAGTTCTTCAGTTAATCAGCGGGAAACAGCTGAATATCTGGATGGTTCAAACTGCAAACTAGCTAACTTTAATTACAATACTGATCTACTAAGTTTCACCCTTACGAATGGATGAGGCTCCCTAAGGCTTACAGGCACAGCAGTTTTATGGGCTCTTGGGGCTTAGGGACGCCACCCTCCATCTTTCCTTTTGCCTTCCCCAAGGTATGTTGTGGTGGGTCCACACTGTAGTGTAACTACATGCTACTTCATGGGTTGCATGTCTCTTTAGCATCTTAAATCTCCACCTAGGGGAGTGTTTTTCACTGTGATAATGAGGAAAAGTTAACTACAGCACACCTTTTTAAACTAATGTGCATGCATGACTTTAGAGAATGGCTCGAGGGCCATTATTCAAAAAGAAAGTACACTCCAAAGAGTTTGGAGCAGGCCGAGCAAAGGAAGCTCAAAAGGTCCATGCACGACTTTAGAAACTTTCCCTGGGCCTGCTTTTCTCCTGCTATTATGGTTCTGTCCACTCATTGTTATTGGCTGGGGGATGTGTGGCTCAAGATTGTTTTCCACAACTGCAGGCTTTAGCCATGAGACCACCAACTACAAACAGACCTAGATTAAGTCTGTCTGATGGCAGAACTGGATTCTGAATTCCCAACTTTCCTATTCCCTTTGGGGAACCCAGCATAGCATACATATCACCTATGCCATGCATTCCTTTCAGGTACATACCCACCTATTTTAAATAGTTCACACTTGCAGGAGGCCCACTCTACCAACATTTCACCCGCATTCTTGTGATTTATATGGAAACTCGGGTGTAATATATTGGGACAAACTAACAGATCTCAGATTCCTCATCTCTAAAAACACTACGATTTATATATTTCCTTCAAATGGCTCACTATTTAGTGGGTAGAGTCATCTTTCAATGGTTTCCCATTGTTCTTAGGATAAAGACCAAAATCTTAATCCTAACTGTGGCCTGTAAGGACTGCTATGATTTGCCCTGAACCACTTTTTTAACATCACCAGCTTGTCCTCTTTTAT